TTTACAATAACTTTTTTCGTACTACAAAAGATTCATAAATTTATTTCATTGTCCTGCAACACTAATGAACTTCAAGAGTGCCAAATCATTTAGGTTGTTTATGAGGCAAGCAAGTGTGTTCCACGTTATAAAACGCTTTGCCTCTAAAAGTCTATTAAAAAACCTAGCCCCTGCCACTGCCACTTCAATCTCACTTTTATGTCCTTAAGGGCTCAAAACAAGGGTCGAGAGCACAACAAAGAGCATCGTAAAAATGAATTGATGCATGAAATCTGCGCTGTATAATGCACGCGCATTTTAAAGTTTTCATGAGCTACGCTGCAACAGATCAGTAAACCGAGACACATGGAAGACCGCACGAACTCTCTCAGTCCATTATTATGTTTGACGGTGAACGACTTTTTTTGACAACATAATGCATCGTCTGTGGTTAAGTAAAATGGGTACACCTCGTAAATCCAAATCCAATCAGTTTGACTACATTACTGACCAAAAGTCAGAACTGACATATTCTTAGGGGAATGTAGGGCGCTTTGCTTCGACGCCTACTATGTCAAACCGCCAACAATCAAGCTCACATTTACTAGATACAAAATTCTAAGAAGTTAGAAAACATTTTCGTACTTTTGACCAGCCTATTAGGGCAAAATGCATAGAAATAATCAAAAGTTGGATGCGTTAAAAGAATTCTGTGCAAACAACCCAGTCATTAAGTTGTTTTGAAAAAACTTAACAACACTCCTTAAAAACATGCTGCAGCATATTAATGATTTCTCCTTTACGGAAAATTGTTAACACATTTTTAAAAAGGCACTTTGGGGGTAACTGCATCGCAATAAGTTTTCAACCCCCAATTCTATGTTTTGTAAAAAGTTAAAGGAAAGAAACAAACCGTGAATTTGAAGTTTTTGGTGAATTTCATCGGCACATCGACCTCCCTTTCACCTTCGTCTAAAAGTAAAGAGTCAAGAAGGAGGGATGACATTTATTTGATTTGACTTAACATCATTGCACACGACGTGAAAACACGAATTATGGAGAAAAAGAGACTGTAAGTCACCTGCCAAAATGCTCTTTTTGTTTATCACTCGAACAATTTGAAGTGCACTTTTATTAATAAATCCTAAGAACAAAGTAGCAGTGTGGAAGTGTTACCATAGTTGATATTTTGTTCCGCTGCTGTGAGGCATTTAAAATGCAGACGCGCAGATCAATTTAACATTGAAACGGCCTTTGACTGCTTTGATCTTTTGCTGTCTCCACTCACTCTGTGGATCAAAGTACGCAGTTACTTCAGCAACTCCCAAATTTGTTGTTAAACATTACCAAGTCTTTGTTGATCACGATGAAGGAAATACCAGCGTCGTAAAAGTTGACATAAAAATTAATTTTCTACTGCTACGCTTAGTGCCGAATAAGGTGCGCATGGGAACTGCAGTCTCAAGGGTTATTATTCGACCGCAAGTCCATTTGTAATCAAGATTCAGCTTTCTGTTTGTGAAGCTAATTTTCACGAGTTTGTCCACCTAGCATGGCAATCAGTATAGTAGGAGGCTGACAATTGGCATCAATAGTTGCCTTTTACCAATTAAATCTTTTTTATGGAAAAGATTTATGTTTTATTACAGCACTCAAAGCATAAACAATCCTGTTATCACTGGTAGCTTTTCCGAAATTTCACAATCTAAAAATACACTGTGGAAGTAGTCTTGTGTAATGGCATGTTAGGGATCAAGTAAATACAAACAATTAGGTCGATAACAAATGTCAATAAGCAAATATTGCATGATGGCTTAATGAGCAGAAAATCCTGTGAAATCATGGAGTGTGATGGCCTTTCGACTCAAATGCATAACACCGGGTTAACGAAGACGACACCTTCTCGGGCAGTTCAAGTGGATGCGTTCGGAGTCCCTCGATAAGACAAACTTGCCTCAAATTGTAAGTACATAAAGGTGTTCACGCTTCTCGGAGCAAAAACCCAATATATGATTATAAGGAGATTATCTGAGGAACTTTCACATAGTTGTCGAAAAAAAAGAAGCTGGACTAAAATCTCAAAACAATTCACAACACATCTCTTCCTCAACGCTCTCGAAATTTCAACACAATTCACAATAGCAATTCCCTCCCTCGTGGGCACAGATTCACCACAGAGGTTTTGCTACTCATTATCCTTTTTTTGGCTAGGACTCAGATGATTCTAATGCAACGTGAAGGGGGCTTTGAACCTCTTACAAACATGGCTGACCCTAGAATAATGAACTGGAATCATACTTGTGACACAAAAAGGCCACTGTATGACTGAAAATACTTAAAATACGCCCTGTAACTCGGCTTGCTGAGTAGTTCCAGGGCAAATTCCATCTTCGACCAAATTGTTGTGCATTTTTCTATTCCACGTCTAATTTCAAAAGTTTTACAGGAAACATATTTGATATTTGATAACGCTCCTTTGGGCAAATTTTATGTCAGGAGTAGTAAAATTGCCTTAGTATTTGATGGTCACCTTCCCTTGAAAGCCCATGCACTGAACTGGCTTGTTCAGCAGGCCAAAGTCAATGCAGACGATGAAGAAGACCCACTTGCATCACACTGGACCCTGTGCTCTGTGACCCATCAATACAAGGAACCAAGTAATAAAGACTAATGATTCAACTCAGTCTTTTCAAGGCATGAGTTTAAACGTGAGAGCCAGAAGCAAACGAACACACTTGTGTCACCGACACCAACTCGGATTGTTTGTGCCAAGTCTTATCAATTAAAACACTTGAATTTCCCCTAAACATTCCCATTGTTACTCTCATAAAACCAATTCGCCGATAAAGATTTCATTTGAGTTTACGCATTATGAGCTGGTACGTATGTATGCATGGCAGTGAGCACGGACAGCTATTCTCAACAGGAGGGTTCAGGAAACCAGGCCCTAGAAGAGATTTTACTACCGCAACTGGTGTACACTTCGTGCGTGCGAGTTTGAGGGGACAGATTCCTGGCGCGTGCACGTGTGACCCAGAGCGCACCACCACGAGGGCTCCAGAAGCCCTCAAGTGTTCTCAGTCGACATTGAGAAGACAAGGGGGTTATTGGCGCGCACGAAGCGCACGTTTAGATGTGGATGCAATGTGAGTGTTTCCAGAATGTTCTGGGATGAGACACGAAAGAGTAGGAATTAGATTTTGACATGCGAACTTCCCGAACATCAAAATGGGCTCCAAACAAGCCCAACCTATGATACGGCTAGACTTTTGAGAGGAAATTCCAAGCGTTCGACAGTTAATCAAGCAAGAATGGTCTGATTCATTCTATAGGACTGCCAAAGCAACTAAACAGTCGGTCTTCTTTTGCAGGTCTTAAAATAAAAAAATGCATCACATTGGAAGCAAAGGAGTCGACTTGCGAGTTTCCACCACAAGGTAAAACCCGCACCTTCAACTATAAAATTGAGTCACATTTCATAGCGTGGTGAAGAAGTTCTGGGCCATGCGGTGAAAAAAGCACTTCGGTGTACTATTTGATAATGAAACCCAACAAATGGAGAAGACCTTGTCAAACATTTCTTGCTTTGAAATAATTGCCGTTACAATCCATAATCCTTTTGCAATCAATGTGCAAGCGTGCCGCAAGTTCCACTTCACAGCATGTTTGCCCCTAGAGGCCAAAATCCCTAACCAGGCTCCCATAACCCCCTATTCACCCTTTGTTTCCAAGCCCTCAATTCTACGCCACGCGTGTTTGTCCATCTCTTGAAACGGAAAACAATAAAAATTACTTAAGACTTGTGGAAATAGGATTAAAATGTGGAGATAAAAATGAAGCATTTTATTCCACCCACTCATCTCGCAGTGAAGTGCGTGAAATGAGTGAAGATGGGTTTGTCTACACTGATCAGCCACTACTAGTTGCTTTCCAAGAAGGTGGTCTTCCATATGTGAGAATTATATTGCATTCAGTGAACAAATCTCAGTAGCCATTGTGGTTTGGGCAACACCGAGTAAACATTTGCCCACCACACACATGGAGGGAACATAGTCTTTTGGGTGTGAAGTAGTGTGCTCCTTGGGAGTATGGAGTAGCCGACAGTTTAGGTGTGTTCGTTCGCTCAGTGAACGTGGCATTACAAAAGCGCAAAAGCCATGTTCTAACACAAGCCAGTGAGTCACTCAGTCAGCAAAGAATGCAAAAGAAGAGTGGAAGAAATGAGGAGTAAGTGCATGGTCCTTGAAGCTAATTGCCACCTGCTAATGCTTAGCACGTGGATGGGAGCTTCAGTGGCTTTCAGTTTCCAGCTGATGTCATAAATGTGAACCAGTTCCCCTATCATTGGCGTACAGAACGCAACGATGAAGACCCAATTGCCAGCACACAACTATGCCTCATAATACCCATAAACAATTAAATGAATTTGACAATTTCCCACAAGTAAGTTACTATAGCGGCCACCTTTTGTTCTGTTTCGTCCCGTTCTGGTAAAGTCCAATGGTGGGTGTTTCTAAGGGCGTCAGTTTTCGCCCATTGTGGATTAATTTATGTGTAACAAATAAAGTCAGAGTTTGTACACATTCATAAAATTCGTACCAAGCTTCCGGTCTTGACTGTACCTTATCACGCAAATGCATCGTCCTTGCATCAGCACCATCTGGCAGAGGTACGTCAACGGGATCAACTCATTTTGTTTATTTAAACGAAGGAGCATTGTGTGTGTGTGTGTGTGTGTGTGTGTGTGTGTGCTGTTCGCAAGAGTGCAGTCACTTTTAGCAAGTGATTCCATTGTTGTGTTGGAAATATGTCACAAAACTTCGCATTGTACTCCTATCGCCACCAATCATATTTGGTCCGCGGTGGTTTACTGCATTTTCTGATTTTCCAAATGGTGGTTTGAGATGGGATCTCGTCACACAAACTGGTGTGAACAAAAGCAGTCAGTGAGGGGGCATTTCTACAAACTCTCTCTATGTACGATGAAGGCGAATGCCATTGAAGAAACCATTCAAGCGCAAAAGGTAAGGGCAAATGCAACCTCTCGTCTGTGCGTCAACCAAACATGTAACATGTTCAATCCCTGTATACTAACAGCGAAAGTAATGGAAAATCTGTCTATTAAATCATTTCAACATGCAAAAAATTTCGAAGAATTTCTCTTAATTCCAAATTTTTCGCTATCACCTCAACAGCAATTACCTCCTAGACCATCCTGTTACAATGAAACTCTAAAGAACTGCTATCCATGTTAGGCAGGCTTGATGGATTGTGAGCCCCTCCGATTCGCTGATGC